ATAATTTAATTAATTAAAAAATTTATCATTCTCGTTCATCTCTTTCAAACCATCTAAACTATTTAAAAAACCCATCGATGAATTGTTAATACTAAAATTGCTCGTCAATCTGTTCTGTTTTTGTGGAGGTTTGAGCGGCAAAACCGACCTCCCGGATGATATCTCTCTTTCTCTTCAACCAAGAAAAAAAGGTGTAGGAGGATAAAGAAAAGAAAAGAAAAGAAAAGAGAACTAACTCCTAGTTAAAATAGAGAAGGTAAAAGGAATCCTTCCTTCATTCATTCCCTCTATAGTCAGAAAAGAACCCAACAAAGGCCACCGTGGAAACGCACTCAAGACCCGATACACCCTATGAAGATGGTAACCAATTCCATCGAAATATTGATTAACATTGGTATATATCACATTTTACCGATTTAAAAATGGAGATAAGAAAACAAATTAAAAAAAAGTTTTGAATAATTAATTTAAATTATTATTATTATTATACTATTTAATTTAATACCTTTTATAATATATTTATTAAAAAATTATTATTTTTAAATTTAAATTTAAGATAAAAAAAATTTATAATTATAAAATTTAATAATTAAATCGATATATATTAATATAAATTTTAAATAAAAAAATATCAATTATTTTCTTCATTAATTCACCATTATATATACACATGCTAAAAAAACAAAATAATTAGGTGGTAACAATTCATGAGTTAATTATATATCTAGCTAAGCATGGTTAATATATATCCCCGAATTGAGTTTGGGTTGCTGATATGGGTCAGACGACTTCATGATTTATAACAGTGTCGTGTAAAATCAAGAAGAAAAAAAAGTTGTTTTATAAATTAAATTTTATTAAATTGTGAAATATTAATTATTAAAAAATAAAAATTTATTTTTATTAAATAATTAATATTTTAAAATTTAAACTATAAAAACTCCAAACTGTAATAATTGTTAAACGCAAAAAAGTAAACTCAATGTTGAAAAAGAAATAAGCATTATTATTAAGAATTTATAGAATATCTCTTTTTTTTTTAAAGACAAATATATCCTTGCTGTGACTGCTCCCTCAGCCTGTCCCTCCTCACTCTCATATTAGGCCAACAATGGGAACCACCACAGACACCCATCAATTCAATTCTTCTCTCCATCATTGCTTTAAAACCAGCTTCTTCAAAAGTAGGTGATTTGGAATTTTTATTCCCCAACACTTCTTCCATAACTTTTCCTTTTTCTCCCCTTAATCCATGGATACTGCTCAATGGTCAGAGGTAATTAAAGTCACCATCTTTTTCTTTTCTTCACACCAAATCATGAAAACTGTTTTCTGGGTATTCAGTATTTTCCTTTCCTCTGTTGATTGCTTTGCCTTAATCCATAAAAGGTTTCACTTTTTGCTTTCAGATGATGTTGTTTTCCTCAGTACACCCCACTGTCTTTGATTTTATGCTCTTGTTCTCCTTTTTTTTTCTCTGTTGCACTCTCTTTCTCTCTTTTCTCCAAATTAAAGAAAAAAAAGTAGTTTTATGATTTGTTTTTATTGATGTTTTAATCCTCGAAGTGTAAAAAGAGTTGCCTTTGTTTCCTTTGTCCTGTTTGTTTCTTTTTGCTTTGATCATGAACTCATGGCCTTTTCCTGTCCTTTCGCTTTACCCTTTTCTCTTTTAAATTTCAGGGAATTGGGGTAATTAATAAACCCATGGAAGCTGCCACAAGACCTCTGGTTGAGAGAAGAACAAGGCTTCAAAAGGATCAAGCTTTGAACTGTCCTAGGTGCAATTCCACAAATACTAAGTTTTGTTACTATAATAATTACAGTCTTTCTCAGCCTCGGTACTTCTGCAAGACTTGTAGAAGGTACTGGACTGAAGGTGGGTCTCTGAGGAATGTTCCTGTGGGGGGAGGTTCAAGGAAGAACAAGAGGTCAACTTCTTCTTCTTCAACACCATCATCAAAATCAACATCAACATCCCCTGCCGCTTCTTCAAAGAAGCTAGTTATTGATGATCTGAGTACCCCGGTAGCTTTCCCTCAGTCTTGTTCTCAAAACCCTAAGATCCATGAAGGTCAAGATCTGAACTTGGCTTACACATCGACTGAGGAACATCATCACTTCAATAGCATTCCAAAGTTTCCTGATGTGCCCTTTAGTTCTGATGACAACAAAAGCCACCATCCAAACCCTAGCTCTACTGCCATGGAGCTGCTCAAGACAGGAAATATGACATCAAGGGGGTTGATGAGTCCATTCATGCCAATTCCAGTTTCTGATTCCAGTACCATATACTCAACTGGGTTTCCAATACAAGAATTCAAACCAACCTTGAATTTCTCTCTTGAAGGGTTTGAAAGTGAGTATGGGAATCTTCAAGGGGTGCAAGAGAATGATCCTGCAAGGCTTTTGTTTCCCATGGTGGACTTGAAGCAAGTTCCAAGCACTAATCAAGTGGAGCAGAATAAAGGGCGGGGAAAATCTGGTGGGTATTGGACTGAGATGTTGGGAGGAGGATCATGGTGAAATGAATAGAAAGAACTGAGAAGTTCATATTTTCCTGTTTGCTTCCTTACTTCCTTCATGTTGGGTGTGTGGTTTGGTTTGATTACTAACAGCTAGGGACCGAGTACATGGGTTTCCTTTTTCTTTTCAGCTTTGTTCTTCCTCGCATAATTATTGCTATATTAGATAGTTTAGTCTCCTTTCCTTCTAAATTTCTCTTTGATCATCAGTGTGAGGGTTTTTGAGGCTTATGTTTTAGGTTGGCTTCAAAAGGGTGATTATCACATTCAGTCAATGCTGTCAATTGAAATGGAAGAATCCGAAGCTTTCCTTGCATCACATGCTCATCTCTCTCTCCTTTTTAAGGCTTCCATGCATACATTCTCCTTTGCTAAATACTGGGGTTAATTGCATTGTGTTTTTATTCACAGCAAGGGATGATAATATAATATCTATGTATTCTTTCCATCTTTTTCTTTGTTAATTCTAAGTTTGTTGTTAGGTGTAGCACTATAAAGATTATGTAAGCAGTTTGATGAAGGGAATGATTTTCTTGAATTATTTTTTTGTTTATTTTAATCAAACACTGGGATTTGTAGATGACAATAAGCAATTGATTATGGGCGAATTGTTTTCTTTTGAGCTCAAAAAGTGAGTTGGAATGATGGCTGTCAATCCTTTACAGCAAAACCCTTTTTCTTTTTTTCCAAGTCCTTTTTGCTTGTCAACAGGTCACTACCAATTGTGTCTGGTCTTATCAGCACCCATCTGGGTCTTTGAGATTCTCTCCCGTCTCCCCTCCACCATTAAAGCAAAACCTTGATGAACAAGCACCATCCTCGCAGAACAGAAGGAATAACTCAGAATGGAATGACTGGTAAATGAACCATACCTTCACATGCCATTCCACTTTCTATTGCCTTTATATATAAACAAATCATGTATGGTAGGTACTTTTTCATTTTCTATTAAAATTGTTCTTTTAATATATAAAAATTTGAAATCTAAAATATCTTATTTAACCTATTTTTTTATAATATTGGCATCTTAATTTTCTGACCTAACTAATTTAATACGTGGTACTTGCAAAATTAATCGTCCACAAATATCGAGTTAAAATTTTCATTTAAGAGTGACATAAATGGTTAGAATTATTAGCTCTAAAGCGAGTTACCCCATGAAGCCCGGAAAGCTTTTTTCTGTTCGAGTGCTGAAAAGAGGATGCAGACCTCTGGACGGTTAACAGTGTGCTCTTTTTCAACATATGATATGATTACTTGCTGCACCCTACATTCTCTTTTTTTTAAATGTGTTTTAAAATGTGTTGTAAAATTAGTAAGAAAACAAATTACACAATTTAAATTATATTAAAATATAAAATGTAAACAATTAAATAAAAAAGCAATCTTAAGATAAAAAATTTTTATTTAATAATTAAAATTATAAAATTTAAAATAATTTTACACTACATAATATTTTTGTTTTTCAACTAAATATAAAGAAAAAGGAAGCCGCAGCTTTGACCTGCATTTTTTCTTCCATGATTCAATTTTATTGGTCATTGGTGGGACCCCAAAAACATTCTCCTTCGGCGCCGTGATCTAGAGGAATTACCTCCACCACAATCTTCTAGATATGAGATATCAATTTTGTTGGGTATTTTATAATTATAGTTGTTGTTAAATTTGTTAAAACTATTAAAATTATTAAAATTTTATTTTAATTTAATTATGAAAATAATTAATAAAATAATTAATATTTGTTATTAGAGAAATTTAAATAAATTTTTAAATAAATATTTTTAAATAGTATTACAAATTTACAACTTATTTAATTAAAAAGTATTATAAATTAATAAAATTATAATTAAAATTAATAATTTTAATAAATTGTTGGTGAGTATAACCTCAACTCTATTTTTTGAGCATGTTATAACCATATATTATTTTGTTAACATTACAGATTTTGTTTAGTTTTATTGATATTTTATTATTTTATATTAATTTTTTTAAAAATAATTAATTATAATATTTAAAAATAATTATTTTAAATTAATTTTTTAATTAAATAATAAATAATAATTATTTTTAATTAAAATATTAGATTTTTTTAATAATGAAACCAAACATAATTAGTTTTTCAAAAATAATATTATGTAAACTTAATAAAATAATGTGTCATTATCGCACTTATATTTCCTTGATTAAAATAATAGTATATATATTATTAATGTAGCACTAGGCACCGCTCTGCAGCCTGCAACTTGATTACTGATTTTCTCTTTATAATAACCTTTGAAACGTATAAATTACATTAAATTTTAATTAATATAAAATTAAGTTATATTAAATTTTATAAAAATAAATTTTTTAATATTTTTTTATTTATAAAATTTAAATTTAAAATTTTATTTTAAAAATTGAGTTTATTCTATTTAGTCCAACAATTAATAAGTAAGTACTGAAAGAAAAAAAAGGAGGAAAGGGATGGCTTCTTAAAGCCGTAAATTAAGGGGCATCTCCACTTTTGGACAAAAATAAGTTCACGTTTTCGTTCTTGGCTAGTTTAATTATAGGCAGAAGATTGGAGATAAGATTCCCTCCCTTGTATTGTTTGTGTTAAGTATTAATGTATTGAGAGTATTAATTATAATTATAATATTATTTTACAACTTAGAATATATTTTATATAATAGTTAAAATTCAATAAATAACAAGTAGTGTATGACATATGGTAAATAATAAATAGTAATAATAGGTGACAGTTAACAAATAGTGGGTGAAAGATAGTAAAAAGTGAGTAATAAATAATAGATAGTGAATTCAATTAATATAATTATTTAGTTATACAATAATTAATTATTATTGTTTAAAATTAAATAACTAATAAGAATATGCTCAAAAAACAATTAAGTATATTTTTTATATATTTTATTATTAAAATTATTAATTTTATAAAAAAATAATAAATAAAAAAATAAATTATAATAGTGTAATCATACACTAATTTTTATTTTTAATAAAAAATTATATTAGTTTTAAATAAAGTAAAAAAAATTTAATGTTTTGATCTAATTAACAAAATTTGTTTATTAAGCTAATATATTTTTTATGATAAATTAATATAAAAATAAAAATATAATAATTATTTAATATTATTAAAGACAAAATAAAGTTGAGACTAATTAGATAAGTACTAATTAAAAATTGTGACAAAAAATTAAAAAATTAAAAGATTAGAAAAGATAAATTCGTTAATAAAATTAAAAAATTTCAATCCGCTAACGATTTAATATAAAAAGCTACCTTAGATAGTTTTTTCAATTTACTAGCAATTTAAACCATAACCACTATCCGTTAGTTTCAAACTGTTAAATAAAAAGTTTTATCATATGCCTAGTGTATAATGATTTTGAAATAAATAAATTTACTAAACATTTATTTTTAATGGTTTGGGTAAAATTAATAATCGTTACATCCAAATCTCTATATCAAACAGGCCCTTAACGACAGAGATAATAATGCTATATCTAAGTTTCATATGAGATTATTATATGATGTTATATTATAAATTTTTTTATCTTTAATTATCATTAAAATATATAAAATCTTAATTAAAATAAGTATTATATATAATATGATATTAGTGCATATCAATCCTAACTCTCAAAAAATTTGGAGTCCTAACCTATATTTAGTAATTAAAATCTCAATTCAAAATTTAAAAATTTAATTAGCTTTCAAATTTAAATATTTTTTTTTATAAAAGGTCTAATTAAATTAATAATTGAAAAACAATTACAATACAGCGTATACAATGCCATATAGGATATTCAAGAAAGATAAATAAGTTAGGGAAAATCTATAACAGTAATATAGAGAGCTTGGTGCTCTATACAAATAGAACAATTAAAAACTAAGATCTTCTAAATACTAGTATATGTTATAAGGGCATCAATAGAGTTATGTGATAACATAGAAAGACTATACTAAAGCTTACGGTCACTGCTGGTAATGACATCTATTTTGCCATCCAAACCTAGCACGGGAGATTAGGGGACTTGGCGATGCAGTCTCTTGGCACCACAATGGTTCGTCCAAGTAGAAAATGCCTAGTTTGTTTCATGTTCAGGTGGTCGATAAGAGCAAAACCAACGCAAAAACCTACACTTCCTTAAAAGACCAACAACACTAGAACCAGAGTCACCCACAACATCCTTGTCCTTTTATATTTGATTACCATATCAAAATTGGAGTGTACTAGGTTTTCTGATGTAAATCGAAGGATGTCACTACCTTGCCAAAAATTAGAGTGCACCAAGTTCTCCGAATGCAACTCTCGCCAGGATCCCATTTGAAATTGAAGATATGTCGAAACGAGATTATGATCCGGTGAATAAGAGAAACCCAAACCCACTAGCAAAATCATGTCCCTCAATATTCCATCACAACCTTCAAAAATCAACAGTAGATGTAAATCAAAAGATGTTGTTGCCTTGTGGTCCCTTGGGCTGAAATTTCCAAAGCAAGACAATCGACTAAGAGGAAGGAAGAAATCAAGAGGAGAAAGGAAAAGGAAGAAGACATTATAGAAAGAAGAAACTCCTTGTCAGAAAGAAACCCTTGGAAGAACCCGTATCCGCCACCCTCAACCCTAGACAAAGCACAAGAGAAAAAACCTATACTCCAAATCTAAATATTAATATTTAACAATATAAAATTTAAAGTTTAAATTGGGTTTTAATTAAAAAAAAATTACATAATTTACGGTTAGAACTCCAATTCTTTTGGGAATCAAGACTTATTTACATTTTTCTCATATAATATTAATTAAAAGATTTATTATAATAAGTTTATTTTTTAAATAGAGTTTATCTAACATATACTTTAAGCTACATATTAAAAATATAATAAATATATATATTTTTGTAATTAATTCACATAAAAATTTATAAAATGTGATATTTATTTTAATACTATTGACACGAATATGATTTTAATTAATTAATTAATTAAAATAAAATCAATATTTATACTTTATATGTAAATTAATTAAAAAAATATTAATTATACTCTTAATTTTTATCAAAAATTGTTTTAAATAAAGTACTTCAAACGCACCTGGCCCGAAGGGCCAATTGACAGCATGCCAGCTTAAGGTGTATTCTCCCACTTTCATGGGCAGGTTTTAAACCTACCACTTGACAACTTGTTCAAAAAATAAAAAATAAAAAAAATAAAGTACTTCAAACTGTCAAATTCAGAAATTAATTGCTGGTGATTCATTTAAGACCTGCATCAGTGTAAGTAGACCATGATTCTATAAAGTAACTTATTAGAGGGGAGTTAGAAATGATTACGTGGCCATTTTTGGTAATAAATAATTACTAAAATATCTAATATTTTTGTTACTAATTTCAATAACTCAATAATAATATAACTTTTAATAAAATAAAAAATTTTAGTCTTGTACACAAAACAATAAATTTTAATTAATTTTAATTTTGAGTTATATGTGATAAGAATAGAGTGTGTCAAGGGCGTAATTATCTTCCAATTCCAACTTGTTACCTCCCCTACAAGAAATTATCTGTTTATCCATCGTAGAATCCTTGGTTGATAATCAAAAAACCTCTTCCCTTAATTATGTGATTATTTACCTTTTAGAAATATAGGTTTTGGATTCATAAGGGCATTCAATTAACTAGGGGAAGAACTGAAAAGAGAAAATTATCCTCAAAAGATGTGCAAACCTTTCAATATTATTACACCGCGGCCATAGACAAGAGGAACGACCTACATCATGGTGGTCTCTTTCAACTTGCCATAATTGGCAAAGGAGCTGATTTTCCATAAAATTTTAGTAAAAAGCTAACAGTACATGCCACAAAAGTGCAAGTTAGAGAGGTTATTTTCCCTTTCAACCTACTGTATAAATATCTATATGCTGAGAACGGATTTTCCAACTACAAACTCAGTACATGTCTAGGGACTTAAGCAACCTGCAAGCCTGAATGTGAAGAGCTGTGAGCTTATGCTCTGGATCAAGTGTTGAGCCAAATCGAATAGCAGCAGCCCATATCAACGAGGCAAATTCTTCACCTAGAAGTCGTCTTATATCCTCATTTATAGTTGGCATAGGGGACATCTCCCTCCTGTTTAAATGTCCAAGAAGTAGCAACAAGAACTCTCCACATTTCAACCTAAGCAAAGGAAGATACCAACATTTATTAGTGAAAAATGACTAGTTATATATAATGATATAACCAAGCCTTTAAAAGACAAACAGCAAATCTTATTCAGATTTGTGAATGATAAACGGCTAATAATTTTCAGTACTTAACTACTTATGAGATATCTTAGGGTAAAGGAATTACAGAAAAACAAGAAAAAGACTTGTTATTTTCCACTAAGGAAACAAATGCTACACCTACAATCAACTCGATCCAATGATGAAAGATGATATACATAGCTTCAACCGGAAGGGAAAAAGCTGTCCATTTGGGCAAGATAATATGAAAGCCACTATTACAATAACCTCCAACATAAATCACAGACAGTACACTAGCATAGGACAGGAACTTGACTTTTAAGTGCAAATCAATTTCAAAAAACATACAAAAACAAAAAATGAAAGGTCACATTAAGCTCACAGGATATACACCATCAATGTTAAGTACCTTAGATTTTCATCCACTTGCTTGTCTCGTATCAGCTCTGCAACTTCCTCAATACCATTACATGCCTCAAAATCCTGAGTGATAGCAAAACAAATACATCTGGTTAAATGGGTGTAATGACCATAGAAAAAATAGCATACGATTGCATAATGGTATGGTAGAAAAAAATTAAACAATTACACCATTGAAAACACACCAAAAAGACATAATCATGATCTTCATAGGCAGAATACCCAAATCCACCCCCAAAGTATAGTGGCAGGCACAGATCCACCCCTGAATAAAAAATGAGGACAAATCCACCCACAAAGTTTTCGACCGGGACAAATCACCCCAAATTTAACATGTGATGTCATCTGACGTCAGAAATCCATTAACAATGAACTTATTAGCAATATAACAAATTAATAGATTGCTAATGTAAAATAACATCACACATTAAATTTGGAGTAATTTGTCCAAATCGAAAATTTTGTGAGTGGATTTGTCCTCGTTTTTTGTTCGGGGGTGAATCTGTCCCTGCCACTATACTTTGGGGGTGGATTTGGGTATTTTGCCATCTTCATATCCAATGCCCAGAAACTAAAATGTTCAATAACATTCGTGCACTACTTCTCAAATTGACCATTTATGCAACTATATAGTGTATACATACCATGTTCAATGACTTAAATTTTATGATCTTAATGAAAAAACTTTATGAATGGCATAATTTATAATTTCTGCAAAATCAATTCAAAAGGACACTGACTAGCTAACAGGTTTTAAGGTTAGGCAACCACAAGAGTAAGAAAAGAATTCAAAGGACACACTAGGATTGACAACTTAAATTGGCAGTGGCACTTGCTACAAGGCAGGCAAATCTAAGAAAACCTGGAATTAAGAAGCAAAAGAGTACCATTTGATTGGCTGACGAATCTAATGTTATCGATATTAAAGCATCTAAGCATGCACCTTGTTCAAGTACTCCCCGAGTTGATAAGATATTCATCAAAACCTGCAGCAATATAACTATATTAGTGGCTGATAATTACATTTAGGTTTGAGGCCTAGAAGCTTAAATATTGACTGACTGGTGGTAAAATGCAGGTCAAATCCACCTCTGATGTCAGAAGTCACCTATTTGCATTGTTTCACACACCATTCCATTCACACTCTAATCTCAATCTCATTAATGCAAACTTGGTATTCTTGCTCCTCATTGGTTCATTTATCATAGAAAATCGAAGGCAAGGGGTATAAGTCAGCAGAAAATACACAAACTGGTTGTCTTTGCCATGTGTGATTGTGTTCTGAAAAGGCAAAACTGATGAGATTCCAAGAACAATCTAATCTATCAGCTCCTTTACACCCCTGGGTTCATTAATGTGCAAAAGCAATTATTTCATAGAAAATTTTGCTATTATACTTGTGAGTGAGTTATCAATCACAATTTTAAGAAAATGTTAAAACAATTCCCCATGTTTGCATCCCTACTATAACTCAAGATATGATGGATCTAAAGCAGCAAATACTAATCACTCAGAAACCTAATACAGGTACCTGGATTGCCTTGAATTTGTTGGCCAAACGAGAGCTCTCCGGGTGAAGCAGACAACAACCTTCCAGAACCCTAAGCGCGAGGGCAACTTCAGCATCCGAGGAAGGACTTGTGATTTTCATAGGCTCCACACTGAAAATGTGATCCAAACTGGTGACTCTTTCATCCTCCGTCTCTTTCAACGAATGTTGAAACAGCACAGGAACCACTTAACACGAAAATAGAAAATTCAACATAGATTAAAGAAGAAAAGTGCAAGTGGAATTGAGAGGATGGAAGGTGAAGAACCTTGGAGTTCGGGGATGGATTGAGTGTGGCAGAAGAGGAGAATGGTGGAGTCGGACTGGGCAATGGATCGGAGTGATTGGAGGAAGGACCGGAGGCCGCGGAGTCGGAGGAAGGAGAACTCGGCGCAGGCGTCGCGGAGGCCAGTGCGGAGGGCGAGGGATACTTCTCTGTAGATTCGCTGGTTGTTGACGGAGTTTACTAACTCTTCCACCGCAGTTGTCGCCGCCGCCGCCGCCGATGCTGACTCCGACTCAGGCTCCAATGATGAAGGTGGCGACGATTCATTGGAATTGGCTTGCTCCGCCACTCCCTCGGTCCATAACGGCTTCTTCAAGTACATCTCGGTTTCCCTCTCCGGCCTCAATCTTTCTCTCTCCACCGTTCGGAAATGTTGTTCATAAAAATGGTGACGACAGGGCCGAATTACAAAACGACGACGGGTCAAATAAAAAAAAAAAAAAAAAAGATGACTAAACACTGCTTCGACTCATTACGCAAAGCTGCTTATTAAAACGATTTTTATTTTTTTTGGGGATCTCGGGGAATTATAAAAAAATTCATAATTAATTAAACCCAAATATTAAAATTTGAAACGTATTATTGAATCAAAATTATAATTTAAAACCATTTTGATTTCTTGATAATAAATAAATAATTTTTTATAATATTAATTAATGTGATATTAAACAATTACAAGCATATGCTAGCCACCAAAAAAAAAAGAAGAAGCTTATAATGTGTTTTACTTAAATTAAATTAAAATAGTTAATAAAATTTATATTATATTATGCTGTAAAGTTTCATCATCTATGAAAATAAAAATCACCCCAGTTTTATTAGTTTTGTTTTGTATGGTTTGAATTGCAGGAAAATTTTTAGAACTGAAAACTGTTATTGCTTTGAAATATTAATAATCATTAATGATGTTTTGATACCTTTATAACTTAACTTTTAAAAAAAAAAAAATCTTTCTCGCTTTGAAATATAAGTTTAAATTATTTTCTTAAATTCAAAAGTTGATGATATAAATCTAGTATAATTTAAATATAAAAAGTGATATATAATTCACATATATACACTATACATGTTATAATTTATTCAATGTTTGATTTGAGATAAGCAAAGCAAGGTATAACCGAAACAAAGAAAAATGAAAAATGAGAAAAAAAAAAAAAAAATCGATTCCTTTTAAATAAAATCTTGAATTTAAATCTTGTGAATGAAAAAACAAACTTAAAAGAGTTTTTTTTTCATGAGATCTGACACGACTCAATTTCGAATTAATTGAAAATTTAATATAATTATTAGATACCGAAAGATTAATAAAAAATAAATAAATAAAAAGTAAATAGATGGTTATCATCTCCTATTCCCTTTCCTTATTTTCCTTCAAACTAAACATGTGATAAATTTTAACTGTAACCATCATTTTCCTTACTGTAATCCCAACAAATTTATCAATAATTTCTTCTAATGCTTGTTCATTTGGTCCTGTCCAATCTTCTTGTCAAACTTAAACTTCATTTGGTCCTGTCCAATTTTCCTGTCAAACTCAAACTTCATCCGTCCGGCCACCGACCTCTTTTTTTTTTCTACTCTTCTCACTTCCCTTTCTCTGATCTCTTATCCCTTTCTCTTCTCCTTTCATTCTCTCTTTCCTCCTTCTCTTTCCCATCCTCTTTGTTTCATTTCTCCCTTTAGATCAATTTCCCCCCTTAGTAGCCATGGCTTGCATGCCAAAAGCTTTTGGACTTATAGTAGTCTTCAATTCCAAGCTACAGCATGCAAAGGTGATGCTTATGATCTAGAATGTCTATAAATTGCACATGGGAGCAAATCCTGTATGATTGGCTAGATGCCTTATGACTTGTGTTAATAAATAAAATTTTAATTTGTTCAAGTAAAAACCTTCATTACCAACGATTTATTGATTCGAATAGAAAGAATTCAGTTTCTTTTTTAAGCAAGATTTCAAGTTCTAATCTTATGAATGGAAAAACAAATGCCAAAAGTGATGAGTTCCTCTTATGGGATCCGACGCGACTCAATTCTAAATTAGTCGAAACTTAATATGATTACTGGATATTTAAGAGTTAATATCAAAAAAAAAAAAAAAACCTCCACAAATATAAAGCCTCCATTACTAATAGCTGAGCTCACAATGAATATGTACAAAAGTAACAGTAAACACAGAAATTTGACATTCTGAGTTTCTGAATACATATACCCAACAATGAATAACATGAACATTACTCGAACAATATACCACAATTAACGCATGAATTAGCAAATCCATCAGACACCCTCTTAAGACCGTAGTTGGATAAACAATGGCGAATTTCCAAATGGTGGGGTGAGGCATTTCTATACAAGATTAACATGATTCACAAATAACTCCATAAAATGGCATCAACATATTAAGGAATAGAACAGGACCTTTAACACGATGCAGAGGCTACCAGTTTTCCTTAGCAATCTTTGATTTTTCAAGTATGAACTTGCCTTCCTTGTACTTCTGTGACGCCTCATAAGCTCGTTCATATTTCCAGCCCAACACCGCACGGCAGTTGGCACAATGGATGTCAGCCACAGTGTGGAGACCAGTCAAGAGGCGTCTGTCTTCTCTAGGCCCTACATCAACATTCATTGCATGGGAGAACAGAAATGCCCGGCCATTTCTTCCCTAAGAACAAGATTACAGAAAAATAATGTGGGAAAGAAGCCTTCCTAAAACCCTTTAGGCCTTATCACATCACTTTCAGAAACACAAATCAACACAAACAATTGAATAACTAGATTAAACCCAATCAAACCCTGCAAATGAAGCTCGAAACCTTGAGATTGCATATTCGAGTCTTGCTGTGTCCAGATTTAGTTTAGTAAACTGGGTTCGTATAATTTCAATATATATTAAAATTAGAGATGATTAAATTGTAAATTGTACACATGAAACATCCAAAATTACACTTAATTCTAGCTAAAACCACTAATGATTGAAAACCAACAAAAAGGGTTTTCGTTCATCATACATAAATTATCTTCTATAATGAATCTCTAATTCAATAATCATGAGGAAAAAAATCAGAATCAATAAGAGAAAAAAAGAAAAAGAAAAAGAAGCAACTAAAGTTAAAGCAGGATAGTGAAGATCAAGAAAGGGATGAATTAATTTAGATTTTCCTGTTGTACCTGAAAAGCCTTGGAAATTATATCATCATGAAGCGAAACATGATTTCGACAATTACAGCAGCTGTATATTCGTGGACCGACAAAATCCGCCATTAAAGAACAAAACTGTAGCTCGGAAACCTCAAAGATCAGAACAGGGAAAAAAGAAGAAACGGAAATTGAGGGCAAAAGACCAGAGCGGAGAGTGGGTTCTGTGAGGTTAAAGCAAGGAGTAAAAGAAGATGAAATTGTTCACCTAAAATTCAATAATGGAACAAGGGACTAGAAGAAAGAGAAAAGAGGAAGAGAAATAAATTAGGCGGCGTGCACAGACTTAGGGGTTGAGTAAAGATTCTACTAATCGATTTTAATTATTATGTAAACAAATTGTAGTACCGATAATGACTGGAATTTATTAAGGTTAATTCTTGTTTTTTTATTTATTAAGATAAAT